GTTTTCTGGGAGGCTTACAACAAAGTATAAAAACATCAACCCACCCTGCAAAAAAAGGAAATCCTAAGAGGAAAGCTATAGCTATGCTAGAATACTGAAACAATGCTTTGTGTAAAACAATGTTTAATTTAAGTTTGTTGATGCAGTGTTAGCTACTTGTTGTATAAATATTAAAATACTATTTTGCTTCTCTTCTTAAGGAAATGATCATTGACAAGGTAAATGGCCAGGTTGTCCCTCGGTACTTGATATACGACATAATTAAATTCAATGTAAGTATATTATGTTTTGATTAGTTTACTAAAACCTGTGGTTGATATATTTAATAACTGCCAGGTAGTAAAGGATACCTGAGATCAATTAATCTTCAATTAATTTCACACCTGTGAAATGACATTGAAACATGTATTGGTGACTGTACTGTTCAGTGTATTCACAGTGTTGAATACATTTGTGAATTTTTGATTATGACTTGGCAAAGATAAGCTCCCCTGTACTTTTCTTATAGTTAGCTTTGTTTTTCTGAGCTTACAGAATTCTCTGGAATTTTTTTGTGGTGGGAGGGCAGTTGGAAAAGCTGGTAGGTGGATTTGTAACAGCTGAGCAAGCTTTTAAGGCCTAAGAATTTTCTAGAATATAAATTGGTTATAGGGAGTTGGGGAAATTGAGTTTTGTTGCCTTGTTCAGCTTAGAGTCATTGAGAACTCAGGTGGTGATTTTTGCAGGTGGCAGTAAACAATCTGCTTGGATGTCCAGGACTAGGCATGCCCTTTAACGGACTCAGGGAGCATGGAACTAGAGTTCACCATTATACAATTTTCAGTGACTTTATAAACTCATGACACATGGATCATGTCTTTCATATCATCAGGTATTGGAAAATTAGCATAATGTTTTGTGCAAGTTTCCCCATGGATTAGGTAGCTTGATGTTACTTATAGTTAGGCCTGCTGAGATGAAATACAGTACAGATAAGTGTAAACAAAGCTGTGACTTTCTGCACAGAACCAGCTGTGCCAATTTCATTGTGCATATGACACTCATCTCTCTCAGAGTGGAGAATTTAGCATTCCTGCGGCATCCTGAAGCAAGTGGAAATGCTAGTTTCTGAAATGGAGCAAGATAAGGGAGTTCTGCCAGCCTATCTTGTATTAATAATGAATATTTCTACTTATTTTGGGACTTGTCTCTGGAAGCACTAAATCTGCATTTTGTGAGCAGTGGGTTCTGCCTGTGCAATGGAACCAGTGGGTCTGGTTATGAATGGAACAAAAGCACCAGTGGGGCCCCCATATGAATAAGCAGCATTGTATAGTCTGCTATATGGCAATTGTATTAGGTTGTAACTTTAAAAATATCAAAAGGATGAGCACCTACAATATTCTTTTTTGAACAATGAAGGATTATACATCCAATAGTTATTTTAAAATGAAATAAAATAAAGGTTCATGAAATTGGTATAGCACAAGCTGCTGAACATATAACTTAAAAATGAATTAATAATGCCCCCTTTCGTGAAATCACCTTTTTTAAATGTCTTGAATGCATAACGAGGATTCATTGATATAGGTAGCTATATTGCCCAAAGTAGCTGTAATTAGGGTTGACAGCTTCTTTACTGGGAAGGTGACAGTGACTTTAAGAGTAATAGAACATGCAGAAATTCAAGAGGTGTCCCAAATATGAATAGCCTGATAATGTATCTTTTTGAATTGTGGGAAGAACTACCCATGCAAGACACTGAAAATCAACCTCTAAGCCTGGGATAGGGAATGCATCATCCTTCACCATTGAGGAGGTCAGGCTGATGAGACTTGAAGTCTAACAATATCTGGATGACCAAGCATTCCTCATCACTGATCTAAGCTAACAAAACTGAAGTGGTTAAAAAAGGGATGTGACCTGCTACAGTTTGCCAAACTGTTTGTCAGAAATAAAATGGAATGTTAAAGCAATATGTGGAAAATAGACACTGTGGTTTGTTGCTGGCTTGCACATCTTTCTATTTATTTGGTGCGGGGGGGGGGTAGATTTTAAAAAAATATACATAAATTGTGTGTGTGTGTTAAATTGTAGGGTGCTTTTTTCTTTTACAGTAGAATGCCAAATCTGTCTTTGTTTTTATTGCAGAATAAAGTATGCTTTTAATAGAAGAAATGGATTACAGTTGGAGAACTTGATAATTTTGTGGCATAAAGGAAGAAGAAAGGAGATAGTTAGGATAGTAAGCAGAGGGCTGGAAAACTGAAGTTGTGACTAAGCTCTGGCTGCAGTAGTGAAGAATACTTCGGGGGAGGGAAGGTGTGGAAAAGATCTAGTGTAGACTTGTAACACAGGTGAGTGCCAAGATGGATGGGGCAACTGTTAGAGGAATGTGAGATGTGGGGGAAGAATTAAAAGGAGTGCAGTGGGAAGTAGAGCCAGGCATTTGTGTGGGGGGAAGGAGGTGTATGTAAACAAACACCACTTGTCTCTTAGCCTGGATGGGAGTAAAACTGGGATGGGGAGAAAAAGAGAGTTTTCAGTGCCAGCAGGCAACATATGCAGCAATCAATTTTCTTCAATGGGAACAGAATAAAAGAGATATTGATTAGCTATAGGAACAGGGAGAAAGATTCAAATATTCCTGCAGGAGGAAGGAGAGTAGCGCATTCAGTGGACCAGTTGAGAACAGGCTGCCTACATAAAATGATGACCTTTGAGATGCATGCCTGGAGGGGTAGGTAGGACTTGTTGGGGCCAAACCATGATGATAAACAGAAACAGTGATAACAACTGTCAGTACTATAGGTTACCAACCACCAATCATGGTGACCACCTGCTGTTGCTCGTCATGAGGTGCAAACCTGCACACTGAGAAGGAAAGAGGCAACATGAGGATAGGAAATACTTGCCATGGTTGAGCATAACTTGGTCTAATTAAACTCAGATATACGTTCTATACATGCCAGTGAATTGACCTTTATTCTGTTTGTTTTTTTCCTTTGGACAGATTGCTGTTCCATTCTTTCCTGTATAGTCATTTTTAGTTCAGTTGTTTATTAGTTTTATGGAAGAGCTGTTTGATTGGTGAAGTAGAATATTCTAGAAGTTTGATGGGCTGTTTGTTTTAGGAAAGAAGAAAGAGACCTATGCTGACAGAGACTTCAGTCATCGGTGACCTATATTAGCACTGGCTGTGACTAGTAATGCTTGAAGTCAAAATACTTTAGGTTGTTTTCAGTGCAGAGGGAATGTGTAAAGGGAATTTACTAAGCAGCCATTGTGCTTTCAGTTCAAGGACAGTTCCAGACAATATGTTATCAGTATAAGCAGAAGCAAGGCTTTATCTGAAATGGGCCATTAACTGTAGCCAAGCTGTAAAGATTAAAAAAAGACCTAACAAAATGTCTTTATTCTAATTATGGAAGTTTAATTACAAATATATTTTAGCTGGATTGACTTGGCAAGAAGAAACAGTTTTATTAGTTATGAGGTACTGAACAGCTAAAGTCAGTGGGACATACTGACTTGTTATAGGGAGAGTTGGCATGACTAACCCAGAGAGGTGCTGGTACCCATGGCAGAATGAAATATTTCTTTGGATTGCTGCTTAATTGAACCATGTGCAATGCTTATATTTTGTTTGCTTAGACATTCTATAATACTGGGATTGTCATAAGTTTACTTTGCAAGATTATGCCAATGTTTATTATTAGAGAGCAGGAATATTTTTTCCCTTTCATTTGTAGGTGAAAAGCTGAAAAAAGTATGGTCTGTAGAAGATTTAACTTCTTTTAAAATTCACACATCCCCATCTTTTTTAAAAAATCAACTTCAGAATTGACTGCAGTATAAACTTTTTTTACCTTCTAATTTTTTAAAAAACCTATGGTGTTCCTTTTATTAAAACCACTCCTGTAGGTGGTTTCTTCCATTTCACTACATATATTTTTATCATTTTTCCATCTGCTCTCCAAGTCCATTTTGCTTGTTTTGCTGACCTGCTAGACAATCTTTAATTTATGTGTGGAATCTGTGTTTTTGTGTGAATTAACAAATGTGTTTATGAAATGGATACATAGGGGAGAAGAGAGTAGCTGTGACTTCCCATTACATATATGCACAGTGACAATCACATTTGTCACAGTGTGATGTATTAACTTTTGCTACATCATACTAATCTTGTGTGAATTTGCATTTGTGGTGGTTTCAGATGATTACCTTCCTGTATGACATTAAGATGGTATAACCATTGATATGAGGAATGTAGCCCTCTAGAAGGGTCTGAGAACAAATTAGCTCTCACAGGTTTTTAAATACTGTTCATGTTATTTCCTTAAATTTCCTTTTGTTTATTTATTATATTTATACCCTACGCTTTTGTCGGAGGGTATTATCCCCAAGTGGCACATAACAATTAAAATGCAAAGCATAATAGCATGTTTCACACATAACATTAAACTGTACCTTAACACTATCTCTGTTTCCTGTAGGAGCAAACCTTGACAGGTATATTCTCCCTCCCCAGGCCTGGTAACAAGGAAGTGATTGGAAGAATTGGCTTCTGCCTTTAGGTGGAATTACACTTTCCTTCTACACTGGTGCAAGTGCTAGTTCATTTATTATGGGGCCAAGCTTTTACTTTCTGTGGACCTTTCCGGGAAGGGAAGGGAAGGGAAGGGAAGGGAAGGGAAGGGAAGGGAAGGGAAGGGAAGGGAAGCTGCCCCGAGGTTGTTGTAAGCCGCCCCGAGGCTTCGGCGAATGGGGCGGCATAAAAATGTTTTAATAAATAAATAATAAATAAGGGAAGGGAAGGGAAGGGAAGGGAAGGGAAGGGAAGGGAAGGGAAGGGAAGGGAAGGGGACAAAAGATGATGGAGGCAAGACGGACCTTTTCCTTGCTGTTATGATAATAGGACAATTCAGATTTTTTTTAAAAAAATAAAGTTTCCAAACATTCTTCTGCTGAGTTTCCTATTGATTTAGGGTTGGGGGGATCTAGTGTTTGGATGGAATGAGGGGAATAAGTACTACCACACTGTGAAATTTTGTAAATGCACTGAGGGAGGAAATAAAATGTAATATTCCAGTTGATGTTTTTTTTATCAGGCATATTCTTGCCAAATGCAAATTTGGTTTAGATATTAAGTAATGGGAGGAAATGTAATTGCTTGTACTTTACAAGAGGTCAGACAAGTTAATCTGGTGCATCCTGGCCTTAAAATCAGAGTCTGTCTTAATAATTTAGTCACTATGTCATGAATTAATATACGTATTCCAAACCATATTCA